TATATATAGAAATAAAGTAGTGCATAACCTGTTTTACCCATTGGGGGAACATTCTTGAAAAATTTTGGAAGTGTGCAAAGTGCATTTTTAATGTAAAAAGAGTAAAGGCAAGACATGAAAATGCATTCAGATCTTTACACTGCTGAATTTAAAATCACAATCTATTGTGTAAACCAGATGAAACTAAGTTAAAAGTGAAAAGAATGCCCAAATAAAGTGAGTATTTGTGATTCACCCACACCTTTCCATCTCTGTATGGAAATGTTGTGGCTTCTCCCTCTGGAAGCATTTCTCTTATGGCAGAACCTAACTGTTCTAAGTAGTTCAAAGCATTGCTTCTGATCACATACCCTCCGCACGTGAGCTGGGTGCAAAGTCCCCAAACATTGCAAGAAAAGAATATTGATATACTGGATCATGAGGCCATTTACCAATGCACAGCAGTGAATTTATAAAAAAGATCCATCCATCCATCCATCCATACATCCATCCATACATCCACCCATCTATAATTTTATAACAGTACCTTCTAGCCCAAATAGGGCCAAGTAAATTAAGGTGACATATAGCTTAAAACTTATACTACGATAAAATAGTATAATAATAGACAAATATGGGAAGTTAAAGCAGGAAATACTGTACATCAAGATTGCTCTTTTAAAAACAATAGTTTTTATTAATGTGGGATAGGAGGCAACTGAAAGTTTTATCAAACTCAAATATTTTTGATAGTTTGCATGTAAATGATATGGTTTTGTTTTTAAAAATTGCTATGTGAAAAAACTATTAAACGTTTAAACTGAAAATCTAATTTCAGAATTAATTTTTATTTTCCCAGTTATAACACAGTGTACCACAAAGCACAACAAAGGTACAGAACAGTGGAAGGGAGGGGAGGGGAGAGGTCAGCAATTTTGTTTACAAATCCAAACAACATAAAGCTGCAGGTGCATAAGTATAACAAAGATAATTTCAGTCCTACCTGTGTTCTGAATACAGAAACAACTTTAAACCTTTCATCCTGATTTCCCAGAGAAGAAGAAAAACAAATCTTCTTTCTGCTTTCTCTTGTTCTCAAGTAGCTCTAAAATTCTGTTTTCCTACCAGCTATTAAAAAGATGCCATTGCATTGAACAGGTGGTTTTCTCTCTCTCAAGGGACAGTATTAAAGGAAAGTTTTTGCTTTCAAGGAATGATTTAATACACTATATGTAATGATCTGCTTGTATAGAAATATATTTAGAATGCTGTGGTGTATGAGAGCTACCCAGGGACATTGCCTCAGTTGGAATGAATCTGAATCTTAACTTTGGCAATAGGAAGTGGATCTCCAGATAACTAGACCTGAATTTTACTTTGAAGATTGTGATTTAGGGTCTAGAAAGTAGGGTTCTCGGTATCCCCTCTGGCAGCTGCACATCAAACCTGCCACTCTCCCTGGCTTCCATAAAGAAATGTTCCAGTGGGGTGCCCCCAGCATTACAGGAATAATGAATGGGTCTGGGGTGTCCTGTTTAGTCAAAGGGCTCCCACCCTCCAGGAGAATGTCTCCATCAGCACAATGCATTGCATCCTAGGGACCCATATGTCTATGTGGGAGAACACCCTTTAGCACACTAGGTACCTGCAGGCTGCTTCTCCAGGGGCAGATGAGTGTCATCACTGGGTGAAGAGGTAAGAGGGTATGGAGGAGGACAGGAAGTAGAAGAGACCTGGTCCACCAGGGTATGAGCTTTCCCAGCAGCACTTCCTGTCAGAAGCTTGGTTTCTCCCTTTCAAAACAGCAGACCACTCTTTGGAAAAGCTCTTTATTCTCCATTGTGCATCCAGCAAAGCATAATCAGCATGTAAAGAGTCAGTCTCTGAGCCTGCACTGAACAGTTTGTTGAACCCACACTAGAAACTACCTCTCAGAAGCTTGCTTCCGTGCACCCCTAGGCTCCTACCCTCTGGTAGGGCCCTCTGGAGATGGGACTGCCTTCTAGCTGTACACTGCCCCCCTAGTGCTAGTCCTTCTCTCCCAACACCACATCATGGGTTTGGGGATCATACCAGGCTTATCTGGCTCCTGGGATTCCTGTCCCTCATCATCTCTCAGTCTTTGCAGACTGTGACTATTCT